GCTGCATTGGATCTAAAAGTATTTATAGGAACCAATGAGCTATTGAGGATTTTTTACATTTTTATATTTTAGATATTATTGGTATTTGAGACAAATTATGATTCAGTATTGCAATACAATGTGGTTAGAGCCTTTGCAAATTGAAGAAGAAAAGTACCGAAACAAGCTTATTCATGAAAACTAAAATATAAAGGCAATTGTCAATTGCAGAGTATCCAAATTTGGCTGATTTGTTTATATACACTTTACATGACTGGATTTGGTAAATTTCTTGCCTAAAGGTAACATTTTCAAATTGAAAAGATTTTGTAGTTAAATTCAATAATGAAAGCATATTGAGAAAGGGAGCTTTTAATTTTTAATTTTTGGCTATATTGTCTCAACATTTCCCTCAGGTTAAGAGGTTCAGGAAGGTGGTTATTCAATGTATGAAAGATAAGTACAAAATTAGTTAAAAATGATATAGTTAACTGGAATAAAACACAATTCCAGACTTGCTTGCACTGGAGTTTCATGATGTCAAACCTGACTTAACTTCTGCAGCTTTATTCTGAGTTCTACAGAAAATGTTTGAATCTTCTTTAAGGTTGTCAAGCTTGAAAGGAGGAGCATAGATGTCTGATATCTAAGATGTTTTCTAAATTATTTTAGGTAAGCGCAAGGGTATAGGGAGGCAAGGTTGCCAACTAAAGTACTTTGGATGAGGAGAATGAGGGTGCTCAGGCTCTTGCTGCGCGAGTACAGGGAGTCAAAGTAGATTGACAAGCACATGTATCATGACATGTACATGAAGGTAAAGGGTAATGTTTTAAAAAATAAGCGTGTTTTGATGGAGAGCATCCACAAATCTAAGGCTGAGAAGGCAGAGAAAAGACCTTGTCAGACCAATTCGATGCTAAGAGAGCAAAGAGCAAGGCTAGTAGGGAATGAAAAGATAGCTAGGAGGGAGGAGATTAACTGCATTCCCTTTGTAGGTTTTTGTTCAATAGTAACTATTGTAACAATTGAATTATATATAGAAGCTTCAAGCATTGATATCCAAATGAAGGCTATCAAAATATATAAGCCCCCTATTTGCTTTAGATAAAAATCAGATTTTTAGTAGATTTTGATAAAGTTGATGAA